GTCCGCCTCGCCCGAGAGGGAAGGCTGAGACAATACCGAGGCATGGGACAAAAGCTAGAGACGAAATATTTCCTGGAAGGAAATTACACAAAAACGCAAACCATCATGTGCAAAGAAAGAAGTGAGTATGAAGTTAAGGCATTCTCGATCTTCCATCCTGCTTCAGTGTATACCATCTCAGTTCCCACAGGAGGTTCGTATCGGTAAACAGGGAACTTGTTACATTCAATTAGACAATGTCAGTGTTGTTAAAGAGACTCATCTGAACTTGGCACACTCGTGTTTATGGAGTTCAAGAACATCTTCCCACGAAACCCATACTACGTTTTGAACACGATGCTTCAGGGCCTTAGTGCAACTGGGGAAAAAGATTGGATTTCAGATTAGTGCGTTTCCATTGGACGGGGAACCGGACAGGACGGAGCGTAATCTACAACAGTGAAGAATCTTCAAGGTTTTTCTGTTTCATCTTTGGCGGAAGGGGGGGCACTACGAAACTGTTCTGGACAATAAAAAAAGCAGTAATATAGAATGTCATTGTAGAAATCCCATGTTTTTGGTGGAACACCGGGGACGTATCATCAAGCTTCCACTGAAAAAAAAAGTGATTAAAACGATTGTCAGCATCCTGTGTGGGGAGAATCAGTGTGCAAGGGCAGTATGGGCACAACAACAGGAGAGTCATTTTCTTGCGAAACCAAGGTGGGTTTTGCGTGTAAAGTAAAATGAATTGCGTGGTAGAGAAACACAATTGAGAAAAATTATATTAAATGAAGAAAATGCCTCTCAAGTCGAAAATACTCAGAAAAAAAAAATTCTAAGCCCCCCAACGGGAATCAACCCCCATGAACCTTCCAGGTGCCGGTTGGAAGCTCTAACCACTGAGCTATGGAGGCGGGGGGACTCATGGTGAGCAAGGCCATAACAAACTAGGTTCCATATGTGACAATTATGTCCGGAGGGGGGGGGGGGTTTACTCCCCTTATGTGGCCTATACGGGGACGTGGCCGCTGGACAGGGTATGGTTTTTTGGGCCTCTCTGCCCTGGAACAGGGTATTATAATTTTTCCATGGCGGAGTCTGTCCTAATCAGGGTATGGTTTGGCACGAATTGTCATCCTAAACAATATGGTGTTTTATACAGTATTTAGAGATCGTAGACGTTTGCCCGCGTTATCAGTCAAAACGAGGTTCGCTAAATTGCAAACCTAAACAGGGTCCTAAAAAATAGAGGATGTTGGTCCTACACAGGGGTAGGTATTTTTAGGGGGTTTTTTATTGTTTTATTTGCCCTAAACAGGGTCAGGTTTCGAACCCTCAGCGCTACCCTATTACCCAAACATGGGAAACCATGGGTCAAGTTACGCCCCCCCCCCCCCCCCCGGCAATATGTCCATGCCATACTGCAAGGCCCAACTAATTTGGTCAAAAGCGGAAAAATTTGTGAAATAAAAATGTTAAGTGGAATGAGGCGACTTGGATAAAGTGGAATAAATGAAGAAATGCTCTCTTTTATCCAAGTCACCCATTCACAGGATACTCGAAAAAACGGAATTCCGAGTTTCTCACAACAGGAGTCGAATCTGTGACCCTAAGCTTACCGAATCGACACAGGAACACTCGTGGGAGCTTAGACCATAAAAACTGCTCTAGGTTCAAATTGTGACGAACTTCCCGCCATTATTTTCTAGGATTAGTTTTTGTTTGGACTGATATATGAGATATGTGTGGGAAAGAAATTATGGTAAATTTA